TTATTCCTTAAGTCAGTGGTTCTCAACCTTCCTAATGCCTCGACCCTTTAATGCAGTTCCTCATGTTGTGGTGACCCCCAACCATAAAATTATTTTCGTGGCTACTTCATAACTGTAACTTTGCTTCTGTGATGAATCGTCATGTAAATATCTGATATGCAGGATGGATTTTCATTGTTACAAATTGAACATAATTAAAGCATAGTGATGAATCACAAAAACAATATGTAATTATATATGTGTTTTCCGATGGTCTTAGGCGACCCCTGTGAAAGGGTCGTTCGACCCCCAAAGGGGTCGCGACCCACAGGTTGAGAACCGCTGCTTTAAGGCAAACATTGAGATCTGACTCAGCCTATTAAGAAATCATTCAGCTAATTAAGATTTCAGGTGCACAGCACTGCCACTCTGAAGAGGTTTCCTGGCTCTTACAAGGTGAGAAGAGCTTCCAGCGTGCACCAACTTTCATCCTCAAAATGTGTGTCTTCCAACTCCCCCGAGTGCCTCCGAGTTAAATATATTTCATCTAAATTCTAGGAGAAAACACATAATAAATTTGGACTTACTGTTGGCTTTCCTGGACTCGCTGGTGGAGGCAAGAACATTGAATGGTGAGATGGACGGAGCCAGACTTTTTCTTACATCGAGTCTGGAATAGCTGATGCATCGCAACAGCATGAGAGTGCACACGTGTGACGTTGGGCGTTCATCTCCCTCCGAGCTGCAGGGGGTGGACTCTCCCCAGGTCTGGGGACACGGGCCCCTGCTGCTCCCCACCTCGGGCTCGCTGCCCAGGTGCGCTCTCTGATTATCAAGGGGGTGAGGACGGTGACCCAGTTAGTGTGGCCTGGATATAGAAGAGTCTAGAAGAGCCACTGCAGGTGGGCATCCTGTCCTCGGACCAGACGTTAGATCTTTAGATTGTCCCTGGAGGGGGAGAAGCCTGACTTGCTGTGACCCGAGGACTGAGATGGTATCGTACACACGCATCACTCTCAAGGCATGAGGTGGGGCTCCAGGGCACGTGGCCGCAAGAACTGGCCCCCACCTCAGACCTTCTTCATGCACCTTGACCTTCTTTGTCACGTCACCGAGGCTGCTGCAGGAGCAGGACGTGTGCTGTGGAAATGAGTCACTGACCCACGGATGTCACACTTCTGTGTCACTTGTTAAGATCCGAATGGTCGTCAGAATGGAGGAATCCTCTTCCACAATAAAGCTCACGGCCGCCTAGTATGTTGGCTCCTTGGATTTGCCTCTGGAACCTGTTAGCATGTGTGCTGGGCATGCTCTGTGGGCGATGCAGCATTTGTGCTGCTCACGGCAGCCAGGACCCGGGAGCGTCTGTAACAGCGGTTCTCAACCTGTGGGTCACGACCCCTTTGGCGGTCGAACGACCCTTTCACAGGGGTCGCCTAAGACCCTCCTGCATATCAGATATTTACATGACGATTCATAACAGTAGCAACATTACAGTTATGAAGTAGCAACGAAAATAATTTTATGGTTGGGTCACAACATGAGGAATTGTATTTAAAGGGCCAGAAGGTTGAGAACCACTGGTCTGTAAGCTCGTGGCAAATAGGATGAGCAGAGGCTCCCGGCGGCTCAGTCATTCGCTGGGTTTTCCCGGGGAGGCTGCAGGAGCTCCACAAACAGGAGTATCGCCTGTTGTAACGTTTCATCTGTAGGGTCTGGCAGGTATTCAGCCCACGGTACAGGCCTGATGAAAAAAGCAGTTGAGTAAATATAACTGAATAAATAAACGAGAGGGCGAGGGTTAAGCCCAGGTTCACGTACCTCTAAAGATCACCCTCTTTCTACACTACCAAGGAGTTTGCTCTAAAACCATTAATTAACAATAACACAATTACTGCTTCTAATCTTAGTATCGTAGCATCACTTCACTCTATACAAAATAATAAATACGTTAATTTCATGACTTACCTTTTTATTTCTGGACTAGAGGCGCAGTGCACAAAGTTCGTGCACTGGTAAGGTCCCTAGTGGCTGCCAGCTGCCGGCCAGGTACTCCCTCCCTTTCCCCGGCCTTTCTGCCCCAGGTCAAACTCCTGGAGGAACTCCCAGTGGAGGGAACAATTTGCATACTACCCTTTTTTATATAGGATAGGATAAACATGTGCAGGAAGTTGTTGAAATAAAGCAATCCCATTTTAATGTGTGTCCCTCATCATCATTTAATCGACACCCTCTTGCCTCGGGCTCTGGGTTTCACCTCTTCAAGATTCATTGGCTATTCGGCGCGCCAATCTGGATGTCACTGGGTCAGAATTGGGGTCCACCTGGGAGAGACGGGCTTCGTCACCGAGAAGGGAGCCATCAGACAGGCGCAGTGACTTTTCTGGCGACTCGGAGGATGGGGCGGAGGGAGGCGCTCCCTGCACCAGCGAGTCACTGCCCCCTGGCGATGCCCAGGCTTTGCCCCCTCATTCGGCTCTTCCTGCGGGCCCCAGCCTCCCGCACTGCGAGGCCACAGATGACTCAAGCCTCCCGGCCCCGTGGAGGCTTCCGTTGACCTGGGTTGCGTTATGTTGATTAATCTGAGCAACTCCACAGCACTGAGTCACAGGAAGTCTGTGATGGGGCTCAGATGCCCACTGCTGACGTCCTGTCTGCCACCAGCACAGCTGGGCCTGGACACACCCCCGCCCTCCGAGTCCGGTTTGCTACCGAGAGTGTGACCGCCGTCCTGCCCCACCCACACTCAGTGCCGTTATTTACATGAAGAAGTTCGCAGGCAGAAAACCCCGCTCGGCTGCTGGCCATCCCGTGGGAAAGGGGCCGGAAATGTACGTACCTGGGCCTGTCTCCCGCCCACCAT